CCACCAACATCTCCTGCCAGTCCTTGCCTCTCCCACCCTTCCCCTGTCTGTAGGCGCCGCTCCCACCAGAGCTAGTGCTCCAGCGTGCAGGGCAGATGGGGGTGCCATACACCCGTGCAGCAGATTTATGATCATCAGGAACAGTTTCCATGTGTGTGTGAGCTCCACTGAACCTACTCTCCCTCCCCACCCTCTGTCACTCCCATACTTGGGACCATGCCTCTGCCTGCATGACCCATGGCATGCTGCAGTCTGACCCAACCACCCTCTCCTAGATGGTGACCTGAAGCTGAGGGTCCCTGGGAGAGGAACGACAGCCACAGCTCTGCTCTGGCAGCTCAGATGGCTGTGTGTGCACAGTGCTGGATGTGCAGATGGGCTGGGGCACCAGCAGAGCTGAATTCCCCTGCCCCCCCGGGGTGGGTATGGGCACAGGTGGGCAAGGACCCAGCCCCCACAGCCCTGGCCAGGTTGGGGCCCCTCTGGTGCAGCACAGGGGTGGGAGAGGCACCGTTTGGGGAGACGGCTGGGACCTCCAGCTGCAATTAGCGGCGCCTCTTGCCAAGCCAGCTCAGCTAACGAGCGCACCAGGGAGTGTGTACGTGCAGTAGGCGGGAGCATGGCTGGGGGACCCGCTCCCACTCTCCTGGCACCTCATTGGATGGCCCCTTGCCTTTGTGCACCCAGAGACTGGGAGGCCCAACCCATGCCCTGATGGTTGGGACATGTTGGGCAAGCGCCGTTGGTACCAAATTGCCAGCTGCAGCCCAAGCACATAGCTCGCACCACGGCTCTGCCCCGTGGACCCCAAGAGATTCTATGGATGGTTGCAGCCTGGCACTCAGCTTGTTCACACCAAGGCTTTTGCGAAAGCCCCATGGGGAAGGATACAAATCACTAAGGACAGATGCAGTATGAGCTCAGGGTCCCCCCTCCTCCAGGACAGACAGTAATACTCTTTCGCACTGAGTTCTCATCAATGCCTTTGGGCAAAGCCAAGGAGGTGAAAAATCACCTGCAGCGTCCAAGCATCTGATCACAGCACCATTGGGCACAGACCTTCACACTGCTGTGATACTTTCTCAAGGACGCCATCAATTCACAGGCAATATCATATTGTCTTCCACCACCACAGCTGAGCAGGCAGCCCCTGCCGTCACTTCACCCTGTGATCCCTCTGGGACTTTCTCATGCTGCATATGAACTTTATATGCAGAAAAGAAATTTTAGTGTCTGCCTTAGTATCTTACTGTCCAGAGTCTTTAGGGGAAGGTCCAAGAGGAGCCACAGTTATCAGGAAGTGGAAGTCTGGTTTTCAGCTTTGGCTTTTCCATGGGGCTTATGTTCCTCAAGCCCTACTTAGAAATATGCTCAGGTTTTTTCTCTGCATAGGTAAAACCTTATAGCATTGTACCTTAAGGGAGCAGAAATCACTACCAAGGATGGATAAAAAAAGAGGTGAGTACCATGTGGAAGAGCATTGAAAACGGTCTTTAACATTCTGTAACAATCTGAAGAGAAATCTTATGCCTGTCTGGGGTGAAATAAATGTATGGCATCCCTCTAGACTGTTTCAGAAAGATATTAAGGAAAGAGAGATAGAGTGTGTAAGCTGCATGTCTGAAATGATCCTAGAGCTACCAAATGCCAGATCAGCGTTTCAGAGGCACTGCCCTGTGAAGAGCAAATATTGGTGCTGTTCCTGCCCTCTTTCCCTCCACTCCTCAGTCCCTCACATGTACAGGTGGGTTGACAGACTGATGTACCTGTGAAAGGCTTATTTGAAGGGCTTCTGAAGCATGAGCCCTTACTATTATACGACTGACTGCCCCAATCACTTAGGAAGAAAAAGCACTCCAACCATACATGAAAATGTTGTTTCAAAAATAACAAGACAGTAAAACACTTGAGCTCAGAGAGAGGGTGAAAGAGCAATTCTGGCAGCCAGGACGGGCATTCAAGCTGCTCTTCCATGGGTGAAGGACCTGGATGGGGTGCACAAAGGCCATGCCCCTTGCAAAATGCCCCAAAAGCCATAAGTCCCTGCTTAGCTCATGAGTCAGCGTGTGGAAAGCCCAGCAGAAGTGTGAGCATCTTCCTAATTTCACCGGGAAGCTGCAGGGCCCCTTGGCCACGCTTCTGCCACCTGAGACCATTTTTGGGGAGTCAGGCTACATTGCACTTGCAAGCCACCACAGTGCAAAGCCAGGGATAGACCTACTTAAACCTCTGCTTTCAAGGTTTCACTGCAACCCTGCCTGCAAGCAGCTACTCCCAGGTGCTCTTGCATTTCCCACTGAAACGAACAGAGATTGGAAGTTTATTTTCAAGCCAAGGCAAGGCTAACCCTCAAAAAGCACAGAGCAAACCCCGCCAGGCTGCCCATGTTTACTGCCTGGTGCCTATGCCCAGAGAGCAGACATGCTCTCTACCCACCTGACGAGCTGGCAACCCTCGCTAGCTCACAGCATAGTCCGCAACAGCTACTGCCACTCTACTATACATAGAGCGATGTGGTGATCTGCCCGCTCCTTCCCCTGTACATAAAAAATCCACTCAGAGCTGCACTCCCATGGGAGAGGAAGAAAGAAACGGGGTGATTTAGAGGCCGAGGCTCCCACTGTGCTGTTCACCAAGTGATCCCTGTTATTTTCATTTCCTGATTCCCCAGCATGACACCTTCGCCACACGTTATGAGCTTTCTTATGCCGTCCACTGTAACATATCTTAACAGAGATGGTACTGACGTGGATCCAAGGGATCCAGCTGAAGGACAGGGAGGAGGGCTCGTGTAGCACCAGCACAGTGCTTGTATGGTGACAGACTACAAATCACTTGGGTTTTTATGAGAGGCTCTTTAAGATAGGAATGAAGGGCTGTGTCTGCATCTCTGCACTGTCCCTGGACCATGCAGGAAACTCTCTCTGGACCATGCAGCTAGCTGGTAGTTAAGGACACCACTGTAAAAGGCTCAGCTTCAGCTCATCGTCCTGAAACACGCCATCCTTTTATCTAACAAGGAGGCATCAGCAGTGGCAGGGGAAGAGAAGGAGGTGCAAAGACTGCTATGGGGAGCCCAGCCCTGGCTCCCAGTTCCCTGAGGAGCTGCCAGCTGGAGCTGTGATTGATGCTGCGGCGGTGCAGCCCTTCTCTCAGCAGGCAGCTGCCTCACGCCCAGCCGACGTGCGGAAACCTCTTTGTCATGGCAGCTAATGAGCAGATTGTATTTCACAGTGCCGCGGCCCCGCGCAGGTACAGCCAGCGGCTTTCATCTCCCTGATAGCTCCCACGGGAAAAGAGCAACCACTGTCCTGCAGAGCAGGTCACGGCCCGGTCTCGTTGGGCTTTGTGGAGTTCATAGCTTTTAAACCCTTCATTGGTTTGCACCTGCCCGTGGCTCTTTTATAGCACAGGAATGGAGGGAAAGGTTTGGGGAAGTACCGCTACAGTTTGTGCAGGAATATGTGGGATCAGCACTGAAGGAGCATGGGAGAGTGAGGAAACAATCATGATGGAGATTGACATCTAACTTATTGGGAGACTTATCTTTAAAACAACAGCAAAATCCAGTTTAAAGACTTTCATTGTGTTTAACAGCCTGAGGTTTATTCCTTTAACTCCTTCCCTGGCTTTAATCCTGTTCCTAACTGCATGCCTGCTCCAGCCACTCTGGGGCCACTGCACACTGTGCTGGCAGAGATGGCCATGGGCCACCCTCTGACCTGCTGTGCTGGGAGAGCCACAGCCACCCACTGCCCTTGTCCACAGAGCAGGCAGATGTTGGCCTGCACCCGGGAGCAATTCAGGGGGCCTTGAAGCCTTGGGGAAGGCGGAGATGTGGTTTGGCCAGGGAAATTGGCTCTTCAGAAGAAAGCCATCAAGTGCTTGCTGCAGGCTCAGATTCATTTCAAACAAAGCTCAAAGTCCCCAAGACTTCCCCCAGCCTGGGCCCCCAGATCTGGCAGGTATGCTTGCTGGAAGGCTGCATGTGTGAGCAGACCTAGGTGCTCCACGAGATACCCAGAGCAGCACAGGCAGGGGACCATGCTCTCCTGCTCACTGGTTTGCTCTCCAGAGCCAACCACCATGCCATGCTGGGAGGGTTAGCAGAGACCTTGTGTCTCATCAACACCTCCTGTGTCCACCCCAACGCTCAGGGATGCTGTCACAGGGATGCCATTTTCATCGGCCAAGTAGGTAGAGCTGACTGAGACACAGCTCCCTCAGCCTCTGCTCCCCTGCAGCCACCCCCCAACATCCAAACACAGCATCAAAGGCAAGTTCAGACTGTCAGAATTGTGCATCTCTCCAACAGGGATCCCCAGCCTGCCAGCAGCGCCTGCTGGGTCATGGACCCATAAATCCCTTAAAGTGCAGATGCAGAGCACCCAGCTGCTCTGCCAGGCACTGTGCTTACAAGGCAGCATATTTACTAGCCCCAACGGGAAAAGGAAACCTGCTACTTTTAACAGGGTTTTTCATTATCAGCACCATGTGTTCTGAGAGTTCCCTTCTGCCCAGGTGCTTCTGAAGAGTGAGGGATATTGTGTGGCACGGGTGAGGACCGCTGCTCACTGTCAAGCTAGGAATGCCTTTCACCTTCGTTTCTAGAGATCTGAAATCGAGTGCTGAGGCTCTAGTCTGGCTTCCCCCAGGCCAGCTCAACACTAGAGATCTGATTGTGTGCCCCATGGTATGTGTGATGGTCTTGCCATATATGTCCCTCCAAATCCACAGTCTGCACTGGTCCCCCCTCAGTGGCACCCGCCTCCCTCCTGTGCTACCAACCCTGGACACTAGATGAAGTTTCAGAGGTATCGCTCTCCCATCTGCCACCAACATGTTACACTTGACATGAACTAATGTCTTCTATTAACACTGCAAGAAACAGATCTGGAAAATTCGTTTTCCAGCAGAGTTCAGAGAGGCCACAAGGAGAGAATCCCCCCAGATGTGCAAGGAGAAGCCAGTGCCAGCACAACACCCCTGGGCAGACCTACCGGCAAGGGGTTAAAGTTCTGGTCCACCAGGTGGTTGTGGCCATGGTCGAGGAAGGAATGCCGCACCACCACGTCGATGCCCTGGCTGGCCAGCAAGCCCAGTGTGTTCAGCCACCTGGGGACAGAGTGAACAGAGTCAGGGCACCATGGAGGGACCACCATGGAGGGATGACCTGGCCCCAGTGGCACAGCCACTCTCATGCATCTGACCTGATGTCTGCTCCAGCACCTGAGGTGAAGCCTTCAGATGGTTTTGTGAGCTGGGTATTAACCAGCTCCCACTATCCTTGCCCCGGAAAACCTGCATGCCCCACTGCAGCCACCTCTGCCTCAGCTGTGCTCAGCTTGCGTGTCCCAACACTGCTCCTGAGCCCCTGCATGCATCCCAACGTCTCATCCCTGTGCCCAGAGCCCAGGGTGTTCCCACAGCCTGCCAGCACTCTACACCCACTGTCCGAGGGGGGCAGACTGGACCTTTGAACCAGCCTGTCTTCTCACACCCCCTGGGACAGGTCTCCAACCCTTACAGCCCTGATATCCCACGCATGTCCCTGTGCTTCCCTGCAAAGCCTGGATAATTTTCCTCCATCTTTTTTGATCATGGCCAGTGCTGAAGATCCGAACTGAGGCTTTGCAGTAGTATGTCCAGGCCATGGGACTGTACCAGTAGACGAGTCCCAGGAGCCAAGAATGGTTGTATCTTCAAAGGAGAGAAAACAGTTTCCAGAGCTGAGCGCTGACATCCCCCCTGAGCCCTCTCCCTGGGCAGGTGCCCTGGGGATGAATGCATGCAAAGATGAGTGGCTGCAGCCTGAATCAAAAACACAGAGTGGGAGCAGATCCGGGCAATCGCAAACTGCTGAGGCAAGCCTCTTGGGATGCCAGCCCTGGGATGCCACAGCTGGTATTCTTGGATCACACCTCTTGTCCATGCCCATGTCCTGCAGGCATGCTACCAGTGTGGGATTTAGTGTACTTCCCTCCTTACTCTGCTTCTCTGAGTATGCCAGAGGCTGGATCACCTACAGGAAAGCAGGGCTGAGGAGGGGTAATAGGGATACAATGGAGAAAATAACAATATCCAGGCTGCCAGGGACTACTAAGGGGGGTTCAGCTGCAGTGGCTTTGGAGCACCTGAGCCTGGTGCTGCAGCCCCACCAGAGTGGGGGTGGCAGTGCCCTGGTGCTGGCAAGCCGGCGTCACTCACAGGAACCCGGCCGCATAGGAATCGGAGAGGTTGTTCATGCCTCCAGCTGAGGTTGTGCCAACACCTTCCAGCCAGATCTTCTTTCCTGGTGTGTACGTGTTCACTACCTGCACAGGAGACAAAAGAAACTTGTGATTTAAAGCCAAGGCATACATTTCCTGTCCTACACCCTAGGAAGACTTATGGAGGCCTTTGGTGATGGTGCTGCTGGGCAGTCAGTGCCTGCCTGGCCCTGGCATGTCACTATGTGTCTTCACCATAGTTTGGTGATGGGAGACTATTCCTCACTCTCTCCTGCCACTGCCACATACCCACTACCCATCTTCTGGAGCTCTTCCAAACATGCCCTCCCAAATGTGCTCTCATGCTCCCAGTCCCGGACCCTGCTCTTCCCCTATAACCTCCCTATGCACTCCATCCCATATACTGCCCTCCCATGTCACATTAGCTCTCCATATCCCCATGCAAGGTGGCTGCCAGCCATGGGGAGCCCCCGAGCTCCAATGGCTCTGCAGTGTGGGAGCACTGGGTCGTGTACTGGAGCCACAAGGAGGAAAGGCAGACACCCAAAGAGAAAGCCGTAGGATTCCTCTGGGCATGGATAGTCGGTCCCGTGGCTGAGCAGGGGCTTCTTTGCCATCCGAGGGGTCCATGGCACAGGTGGGACATGCAGATCCGAGCATGCTGGGCCACCCCTTACAAGGCTTCAGCCAGCAGTGCAGACACCTGTGAGATGCCAGACGGGACAGCAGGGCTCAGATGGCCAGAGCTGCCCTCTCCTGGCATGAGCAACCTTCTGCACCATACAACACCCTGTCCTCTCTCTTGCAATCCCACTTCCCCAGGCTGGGTGACAAACTTCAGCGACCAGATGTCTGCGAAGCCAGAGGCCCCAGGAACGCTCTGCGCAGCCTGATGGATCCTGCCCCATTAGTGAGGAGCGCTGGAATGTGCTGGATGGACTGGGATCCCTCAAAGATGTTAAATACGCCAGCTCTGGGCTGCCTCCCACTCACAGCCTGTGAGAGTCGACAACCCTGACTGAAGCCCCAGAGGTGTTGGCATCCTGCCTGTAATTATCTAAGCCCGCCACCTTCCCCGGTCGGAGAGGAAGCAATAAAACAGGGAAGTGGACAAGTCCAGCTGCTCTAATCAGCCCCGGCAGGATGCAGGGACTCAGAGCCAAGCTGGAGGCTATTAGCACCCAGTGCTGTGCTTTTGCTCAGCCACACTGGCATTCCCAGGAGAGCCCTTCCCCAGCCGTACCCTGTGCAGAGCCAATTCTGCCTCGTGGGTATGAGGGTTCCCTCAATCTGCATCAAGGGCAGCTCCTTGCTGCTTCTGGTCTGGGGACGGATGGGGTCCCACTCCCTTCCCAGCAGGTTCCTGACCTGCAGCAGAGGTGGGACACATGCCACCACTTTTCATGTGGTATTATACTCTCAGAGGAAGCAGGGTCAGCTGATGTCTCTCACTTGCCCCACAAAGATCCCACTGACCACCCTGCCATGCCTCCCAAAAGCAGGAGGATCATCCACATACATGGATGATTCCCAGCTTGTGCCAGAGGACTCAGAAAGCGACTCCTCTCCTCCAGCTTTGCTGCGCCGACCCTCTCATCCCCTTTCCCAGGGCCTCTTTCAGTTGTTTACTCATTCTATGGTTTCTCCCTGCAGGAATTACAACAGTGAGACATTGTGGTGAGTGGTATGATTTGAAAACCTAGACAAGACAGATGGACGGACACCTCCTCTAGTCCCTAAAGCCTTTCCCACTCACTAAGTGTTCCTTATTTCTTCCAGGACTGACAGCTGAGCGTGTCAGTCACAGCTCTGGCCCCCATATCAGCCGAAGCAGGGAGACCCTGAAAAGCCCTTGTCACCTATCCCAATGTTAGAGATGTGAGCTGGGTCCCCTGGACCAGTGGGGAAAGGAGCACTCACTAGCCAGGCAGATCTATAGACTCTGACACCATATGTCAGCAACAGCTGGTTTTTATGACACAGTCAAAACATGATCATCAGGGAAAAAATACAGTTGTTCATAATGGTCATGAATCTCCACTAGTGAGAGTCACTCTGGGAATGCAACTGTCACTACTTTGCAAGCAACATTTTCAGGCACTGTGAACAAGTGGGGCAAGATATGACAGTAGGAGACCCCTCCTGAGCAAGCTGGGCACCGGCGGTGCTTGGGATGGTTTGGTACTGCCTGACTGCTCACTCATCCCCTTGTCCTGGGGAGCCAGTTTCAGAGAACACCCTCATTATATGCTGTTCCCTTCAGGAACAGACAGATGGGACACTCAAGCCAGTCAGCTGCCTTAGCAGGGCTTTGCATGTTGTCTCTGCCCCTGCCCTGTGCCTCCAGCCTGCATCCCAGCACACCTGCACAGCCCATGCTGTGCTGCAGCACGTGGCCGCTTCCCTCACAACCTGCCACACATCCCATCCTGGGGCCAGGCATTGTGCTGCCTGGTCTTTCCCCCCATCCTTGCATGAGGGCTGTCTGCATTTTGGCTGGGAGCACAGCCACCTCAGCAGCCATCCTCCATCCTCCATCCCCACCCCACACCAGCTCCCCTGGGAGTGCATCAGCGCTGAGCCCTGTACCTGACCATGAGCTGTGCCATGGCCAGGCACCACAGGCAGTGTCCCCTCAGCCCCGCAGATCCTTTCCACTCACGTACTTTCTGGATTTTCCTGATCTGGTCAGAGAGTGTGTCTAACAGGCGTGTTTTCAGGAAGTCCGTCACTTTGGCCACCCGACCATCAATGTAGTAACTGGAAGGAAAATAAAAAGACGAGGATCAGACAACTGGGAGTAGCTCTGCCCCAAAACCATGCCCTCCTTTCCTGCTGCTGCTGTACCACACCAAGAAGCCTCCTTTGCTCTTGGGGAGTCTCTGCTTGCACCCTGTCCTGCCCTGGCCCTTCAGCCATGCCTGTGTCTGGCAGATGCTTCAGTATCCAAAACAAGGCATAAGGTGGACGGACCCTAAATGCTGAGCATCCTGCACTGCAGGAATCATGGAAAGTTTTGCAATTTCTTAACTTTTGCTGGTGAAATTCTGGGAGCAGAATGCCAAAGGCTGGGAGCAAAATGCCACCTGCAAAGGCTTTGCAGCCCCCTCACACCATCTGCACCTTTCTTGCTTGCTCTTCCAGCAAAATCTGATTCCTCCACTCAAGAAATGTTGTGGCTGTTACCTGCAGAGGAAATCCTGCTCTCACAGAAATACCTTCTGGCCTGGGAATGCCAGGGAGCGTTACCCATACATGGGGATTATTCCTGCTCTCCATGTGCTTGCTTACATAAAGCATAGCTATAGTGCTGCCCATCTCTATGTGAATCATCTAAGTGTGAGAGGAAGGCTTTGGAATGCCTCAATACTGCCTCCTGGCTCCAGGCCATAAGGTGAAGCAATCTGTCCCAGAGCGCACTTACCCTGTGGCTAGAGGTAATCCCAACCTGCTCCTTCTGAAGAAGTGTCTTGGGCTGTCATCTCTGCCCCATGCAAGCAGCAGTGGCAGGTTTTGCACATATCCAGAGGCTCCTCCCAGCCTTGCGGGTACCCCAGGATGCCTGCTACAGCGTGCACTGGCACACCCCCCGGAATGGTCCTTTAGCTGATAAATAGGTTTTGCAAGAGAAGCTTTCTGAACCTTCTCCCAGTTCTGCAGTGTGCATCAGCTGCTCAACACAGCTAGCCCCAGAGCATGTCAGAGCCATGTTGGGGGGATGGAGGGTTCCAGGAATTACAGCACCTGTGACTATGCTGGTGGGGCTCAGTCATTGCCTCCCATCTCTCACTGGAGCTACATCCACTCAGAATTCACCGGAGTTACACAGACCCTTTTCCTTCTCTGCAGACCTCAGTGCAGCCATGAGTGTTAGGATACATAATGGGCTAAAGATCTGAGGTCTGAAGAAAAGTGAATTCACCTTTCCAAGGCTGCTTTCTCCATAACAGGCATCTCATCTGCAATGGTGAGCAGCTGTAGCAGTCGTAGTGGCTCCTTCACTTGGGTGCTGGAATGCAGGAGCATCCCAAAGGATGCTGTGGGCTAACTCAGCCTCAGCCAGAGCACCTGGCACATGTGCAACATGCACAAGTGCTCAGAGAGGATTTTTATGTCTCACTGCTCCAAGTCGCTAACTGTCCCAGAGCAGAATTGCATTACAGGCTCAACTTGCAAATGCATTAAACAAGAAGAACCTCCCCTGTCAACCCTCCCCCAGGTGTGCGGTCCCAGCTGCATCCCCAGAGAAGTACAGAAACGTGCCAGGCACATGCCAACACTGTGTAACCGGGGAAGGAGGCAAGAGCATATCTGTGTGTCCTTGGTGACTGAAAGGTGCTAAGGGCAGATATTAACTCCAGGGAGGATTTAGGAAGCGTTCAAAATAATTTTGATCACTTACACACAATTGAACCACTGGCTGCCGGGAGGAAAGCAGATCTGTGAGCAGCAGGCAGTGGTGGGGTTTACACAGATTACTTTTTAAGACAAAATTACAAAGCAGTGGACTCTGGGGAAGGCAGATGTTTGGATTTTAGCACGGCACTTAAAAACAGAACAGAAACTATTTTTCAGACTGCTGTGGACTAAAAACCCCATCACCTGGGCTAAAAACTGGCTGAAAGGCAATAAAAGGGTTGCATTGATAGGTAAAAGATGGAGTTAGAGTTACCTCAGTTTGTGTATGACCTGTCCAATACATCAGGCTTTGTGCAGGGTTTAGCTTGTCAGCACAAGCCAGTATGGTCTTGGAGACCAGGATAAACCCCTTGGAGAGTAAAGACAGTCCTATACTCCTCATTACTTCATTCAAGCACAAGGTGTTCTCTGCCCTCCAGGGGACCACATGAAGGCAACCTGGGAAGGTGCTGCTGTGCTGAGCACAGCCCAGACCCTACAGGGATCAGAAATACCCGGGGATAGTGCCATGGTCACATTCTTTTGACAGCTTCATTAACAATGCAGAGAAACAGAGACTGGTAGAGGCATGAAGGGCAGAAGTAAACCTGCTTCAGTCTCAGGAAATCTTGGTAGCCTATCTCCTGGGAGTGTGAGGAGGGGAACACCTCCCCTTCACGTATTTAAGCAGATCATGAAGGCAATTACAAACTTCAGTAAGATGGCAAGGATCTCTTGCAGATCTGCCTGGTGAGTTCTTGGTCACCAACAGGTACTTTCAATCTCCTCAAACTGGGGAAGAGGGAAGATGGCATCAGTTGCACATGGCTTGCGAGGAAGAGAGAGGAACTGAGGACTGCAGCGATACCTGGCTATTCAGGAATGGGTGAGCTGTTTCCAGCTGTAGGCTTCAGATCGTTGAGATGAGGGCACATCCTTTTGGAAACCTTAACCATCAGTAAAGGCAGTATACCAATCCACAAAATGCAAACAACTGTCAGGCCTTTAAAGCAGGAGAAGAGCTCATTAGGCGTGGATTATTCCCAGGACTGCAGCTTTGCTGATATTTACAATGACTCAGTGCACTTGACTTTAAAAAAACACCCCTAAAACAGTCACAAACTCTCCAACCTCCAAAAAAGCCAGCAGCAGCTGCAGAGAGCTCCAGTGCTGACAAGCACCTCCCCAGGCAGCCAAGATGAGCCAGCCCCAGGGGTCACGGTATCCACAAGCTCCTCTCCTGGTCCGGCAAGGTCTGAGTGCCAAAGGACATGAATGGACACATCCTTCCCAGCACAGGCAGGAGTCTCTGGCAGCTGAGGCTCTGCAGAGGCAGAAGACATGTAGCTCATGGAAAATCTATTCATCTCCAACACAGGCTGACAGACCTGTCAGTGGTCTGGGTACGGTGCAGCACCAGAATTGGCCCCAAAGCCTAGGAGACATCAGCATGCTCACCATGGGCACTGGCTATGCTGCACACAACTCCCCAGTGACTCCCAGAGAAGGACTGTGCCAGGCAGCAGGGCAGGGCACTTGGGCGATTCTGAGGCTGGCTACATGTCTCTGTCCTCTCATCTCCAGGTCTTGTGCTGCATTTAAAATGGTTTTCTGGAAAGATCTACAGTCTGCTGCATAGGACCAAAAAGCATTGCCCCACATATAATGAAGGCAGTGCACTGATTCTTGGGCAGCTGGTTTCATTTACTTTCTCCTTCATTTTAAAGAGAAACCTTTGCCCCTATTATCTGACCTCTTCTTCTGTTGCAGTTAATTACATTAAAGCCCACTTCCCAAAGCTCAGGAATTTCCGGATCTACTTTGTTGCTTGCTGCTACAGGGGGAGTCTGCTAGGAATTAGAGCACCTGCCTGCTGGGGACGCTAAGCAGGGAAGATCCCCACCTTTAGCATGACACCCTGCAGCCACTACAGCTGTGAAAATGAGACACCTCTGCTGACAGATGGCCCTGATCCATGAACATCTTCGCAAGGAGAGGGCAGAACCCCCATACGCAGCACAGGACATGGAGCTGCCCCACTGCTCCCACTGGAGAGGAGAGGCAGAATGCGCCAGTCAACTAGTAAGTGCACTGATGAAGAAAGACTGGGGGCTGCTCTCTGGCCCAAAGGCACAACTCACAGTCATGCCTTTCTCTGCCCCCCGACAACATGCCTTTGCCTCTCCTACCACTGGGAGCCAGCCCTGGCCCATGCCATCTGCCCAGTCATGCCCTGGCACTGCCTGGGACTGTGCTGGTGGCCCAGGCCATGATGCTGCCAGGGACCGTTCCCTCCATCAGACAGTGAAGAGGATGAAAGTCCAGTGGGCAAAGCTGTGGCCTGACCAGGTTTATTTACAGGTGGAGATGGGCCAGGAATTCCTTCATCCAGCTCCTTCCTCCAGGCACAGCCTCTGAAGACACTGCACTCTGAGCTCCCAACAGGCTGATGCGAGCCTATATATATACCCTTGGTATATGCATTGGTGTGTGTGCACACGCTGGGCAACTGGAACCTTTGGGAAATCTGCCCTATGCTACTGCTTGTGAGCATCTCCATCTGCATGTTCAACATGACTAAGTCAGAAGTCACCCAAACCAAGCCAGCCAAAAGCATTTTAAGCAACATCTCACACATGCCTGTGTGTCTGGCATCTCTGATTTGCCACACAGGACAAGTGACTTTCTATCTTGGAAGAAAACATGGCATTCTCCAAGAAGCCACAGGAACAGATGTCCACTGACTTTGAAGGTGCAAATATTTACTTTGCCTGTAAGTAGTAGGGATTTGTGCTTCAGAGTCAGCATTGCATAAGGATTTACCCATTAAATATGCCAAACCCGGAGTTCTGTGAAAGACTTCAAATGGAAAACCAGTTGTACGGACTGAGGGAGTATGCCCAGGGCGCAGCTGCAGCTTTAAGTGGGCAATGAATCTTCATCATGTGTGAGGACACCAGCGCAGAGCAAAGAGATGGCTGTGGGGAGGATTCTGAGCAGTGGAAACCCACATCCAAAGGTTGAGGGGGTCTGCAGTTACTCATAATCAAACATAACAAACGAAATCACCAGTGAAATGACAAAACTCTTGGAGCCACTGTCACAACCTCCTTTAGTGTAATTCCCCAAGCACTTCGAAGCCATTCACACAACCCTCTACAGCAACACTTTACTTCTGAAGGAAGGCACATATGCTGAGTTACTTATCTAAGTGAAACCATATTCACAAAGGCTGGTGAGGCTGCTTATTTCCACCCAGTGTCTCTTTTCTGTCAGATATATTTCAGATAGATTCTATTTTCACACAGAGAACAGGGATCCCTGCAATATATTCCCTTCTCAATTCCCTTTCTGGATGCAGCACAGACTATTCAAAGGAATAACAGATTTGACAAATTTATAACCAATATCCCAGGAGAATGTTAGGGTTTGGAACCAAAATATTCATACTTGAAGTTAGACAGCAGTTTAGTTTCCTGCTAATAATTTTCTTCTTGGATACAAAGGAACTTGTTTTGTTTTGTTTTGCTGTTTGGAGCAGAGGGATGAGACACTGTTTTGACATTTATTCATAAACAGTACAGAAGCCCAGCTCGAAGCTGTGGCTATTGCCAGTCCACACAATCGCATACGGGTGCAATCTCCAGAGCTGCAAACCCTGGCTGGGGGAGAAGCGGCTCCTATGCTGCAGTGGAAATGGGTAGCAGGCAGCAGCTCAGCTCTGCCGACCCTCGTGGGGAGCTGCACCAGTCCTCCTGCTCACAGGTTGCTGCTTCAGCGTGGCTGCTCAGCACCAGAGCCTATCAGCACTTCCCACTGATCCTATGAGAAAAGGTTTCAAAGCAGCCGTGCAGGCAGATTCCCTGCACACCAGATGAAACTCCACATCTGAAGCCTGGAAGTTTGTTCCTTTAACTCATCCAAGGGCTTGGCCCAGTGATCAAGTCTTGTTGCAGAAAAAAATTCCTGGACTAAGTAAATGCGATCAGCACATCGTGTAATCATGAAAAGCAAACTCCCAGCAGAGAGATAGATCATCATTGCACAGCATGAGCCTGTAAGTAACACAAATTCTGCTCCAAATCTTCTGCTACCCCACTGTTCCCATTGCAGCAAGCTGCTGCTGCCTGGCAGGGAAGCTCGAGGAGCTAAACACCCAAGCAAGCAATATCGAGGCAAGCCAAGCTCCAGGAATGGGACTTACTGGGTGCTGGTCATGCCTGAGGCTATAAACCACCCTGAGATGCCAACAGATGCTTCTACAGGAGCCTCCAAGGTTAACACACTGACACACAGACCGTGGGTGCACTTTCAAGAAAACCTCATATCTTAAAACCCACCAAGCTCTATTTAAGAGCAGGTCTCCAAAGGGCCTTTACAAGAGGTGGACTTTACAAACTCTGCTGCTGCACTTCAGCAAGGCAACCCGAGCACCCCATGAAGGGTCACTGTGAAGAACCAGCTTGGGTGGGCAGCACACACAAGCACAACTTGGACCTGAGACCCTGGCTCCCATGCTCAAGGCCAGTGTCCTGCATAGGAAGTTTAACCCAGCATGGCAGCAATTCAGTTTTTCTGAGAACAGGGTGGTCTCACCACAGTTTTTTTGGTCCAGTGAATCCTAGTCCCTGAAATGTGTCCGAGGCAGGAAAGAGTCCTGCCTGCCCCACAAACCCTTTTGCTATCAGTTTTGGTGGTCAATGCTGTGCTTGCACACTGCCTCATCTTTGCACTGACATTTGCACTCCCCCTGCAGAGAGTCACAGCCTGCTGGGGACCCTACCTCTGGCCACAGCATGCAAATTGGGGCAGGTAGAAATAAGAGGAGGAAAGAGATATTTACAAATTTTCCCTCAAATAAGAAAACCTTTTCCTCTACTTTGTGCTTGTTATATCAGAGCTACAGCTGAGAGTTTTGATCTTCTGAACTGCAGCACTTGTAAGAAACAGAAGGAAAGTCAGATATAAGCATCTCTCTGTCAGCCCCAGCTGGGCCAGGATCTTCATCCCCTTTCCATTGATATTTGCTCCTGGGGCTCCACCTGCAGTGTAGGACACAGCTGTGTGTCTGTGGACACCCTTACAAAACAGAAAGGGGACTGGGGCATTATATATGAACACTGGACTGAGCTGACTCTCCCTCCTCTGGACCAACCAGTTTAGCTTCATGCCAGCAGGCATGAGGAGACAGTGATTGGGGTGAATGGAAAAGGGCTTTCAGATAGTCCCATGCATCTGTCACATGTGGCTTTTGCCTTCCTGTTTTCCCTACTCAGGCCACCCTCAGAGCTGCCTGTCCTCCTAGCCGCCTCCAGGGACTTGGCAGTCCAGTGCAGAGCCCTGTTTCCAGCGATCTGGCAAGCCAGGCATGCAGGCAGTGTGTTTTTAGCCTGTGTCTCAACTGCAGAGGTAAAGATTAACACATCCACTCCTGTAACTGTTTGAGAGGCTCGAGAAGGAAGGGCAGAGCCTCTTTCACCTATTTAAATGCAGCAGAAGAACAGAAGAGGTGGCCGTAGCACATCTGCCCCCTTTGACACCCAGAGAGGGCATGAGCTCTGTCCTCAGCATCTGCAATCACTACACTTAGTGTTGGAAAGCAGAAGGAATGGTGAATACCTACTGTTGCCAGGTAACAGCATCCACTGTGCCTCCAGCCACTTTCATGAACCTATGAGAAATAGAGGAGGAAACAACATAAGCCCAGTGTTGTCACAGGGGAAATCCTTAAAAAAACCAATGCCCATCCTACATGACGGGATACAAAAGATGGCAACTGCACCCACAAATACTTTCTAATGAAGCCTTTGTGTTCTTAAACGGAAGGAATAAATTCTACTTAATACAAATGCTTGTAGCAAGCACAGCAGAGAACAACAGAGTGAAACCCAACTTGCAGCAGAGCTCTGGGCATCATTTTGGGGCAGGTAGAGAGAGCTTTCAGACAGCATTTCAGGAACAAGACCTTGAGGCATGCACTAAGTTCTATGACTTTAACAACTCTCAATAGCAATTAAAGAAGAAGTTTTAAATGTCCATCTTAAAAGCAGATACTTCTTCCCCTAAAGTGTCGTTAAGCTGAGAAGATATTTGCCTGGATTAAAGCAAGGACTGGAAAAATGGACTAAAATGGAAACAAAACCCAGCAAAGCTATTAGATGCAAAAGTGCCACCTCCAGCTCAAGAAACTCCTGAGTTCTGGAGGAAGAGAGCAACAGCTGGACAAATACTGCTAAATGCTTTCCTTTTTTTTGACTCTTTCTTTGGCATTGGCTATTAGCAAACTGATGGGATTCTGACCTGGGTGCACTTTTGGTTTGTCCCATTCCTATAACTGATGACAGCACTTCAATGGACAAGGCTAAAGTGAGTTATTATCTAGGTATTAGTCTCCTGATGGCTTCTGACTCGACTATCTTTAAGAAATACCCATCTTCCAGACATCTCCTATTTGAGTCAGACTTGAGGCTACACAAGTATACCTGCTTACACTGCTCATCCCAAAACCAAGGCAATTCCTAATCTTGGGGACCATATGTAACCTCTGCAGCAGGAGCCTGTAGCTGCAGGGGTGCCTCCCTGGCTCCCTAGTCCAGCAATCCAAACTGCACCTCGGGAAACTGCAGCTCCCACGATGAAGCTCAATCAGTTCTTATATTCTTATGTTTAGGGGCACAGATTTGAAAACACATAAAGGCACGCACTGACTGGACAGGCACGTTTTCTGTGCACGAGTGCAACGTGCACTGCATGGCTAATGATTTTGGAAGTGACAACGTGCACACATGACAGGAGACATTTGCTTGAGCAAGTGAATATGCTGAGAAAGGAAATGATGCTGTATTTTCTTGGGCTGCATCTGATGCATGAGGATCCTGGGAACACAGCAGGAATGTCACCGCTGTCTTGACTCCACAGTACACAGGGATGAGTGGTGTTGGGTCCAGCGACCCCAACTTCCCCAGGAAAGCCCCATGACCAAGGGCGAGGAAGGAAAGGGAAGGTTTGTGAGGAGAGATGAGACCTTCTATCAGACTAGTTGTCATGGCAGGGACAAGCAGCAGCTTTTCGGCACACGAGCCTCTAATCAGGTCTGAGGAGCAAGCAAGCTTCAGGCTAAATATAGCTTGGAAACAATCATTCTGACTTTAAATTAATGACGATGGTCAATTATAGACTGGGACAAAAGGGCAGCTGAACCCTGTGGAGCATAAGAGGATGCTGGCAAAGGAAGCAATAATAAATCCCTGCAGCCAGAGAGGGAAGAGATACAATTAGAAATGGAAAAACAATAACATGTAAACTCCTGTAGCACTGATGCATCCCCAATTCTGCTGCCTAGCAGTGCTGTGAGCTCAGTTCTCAGGCTCTGTAAAAGATGTAAAAGCCTCTCTGAAATGCTTTTACATCTCTCTTGAGGGTCAGGCCCGGAAAATTAGTGGCAGGGCGATGCTTTGGGGACAGTTCCTCTGCAGCTGAGCAGGGCAAGGAGACCAGCTGGACCAGCCCTAGTGCAGCCATAGGGAGAAGTGTGAGCTTCCCACAACTCACACTGGGCACCTGGCAAAAAGGGGATTTTGCAAATATTGCTCTGGAGAGGCTGCTGTTGTATAAAACAAAGTCTGCAGAAATATGCCAAAAGAGTCAAAAAACCCAACTCCCAACTTTTAAATGCTCTGTACAGAGACTGCTGCCTAAAATGCAAGATAGGAAATGCACAAGAGTGAAATAATGAACTCTAAACTGAAATTATGAGCACAATTTATATTGGATTTGAAAATCAATATGTTGCAATTGGGTTTGATGATTAGCCCAACTTGCTTTCTAAACTCAAATGCTTTACATTCTGGCTGAAAATAAACCATCCTGGACTTTATTAAATGGTCTCTTCAGGACCAGCTTGGCAATCTCCACTCACAGTCCAAAACCATGAGCAGACCAAGCTTGGAGGAAGACACTCTCCTGTTTTCCTTGCCATTTCCATATTTCCTAGAGCCCCGCTGCAAATTGGGACTTCTACAGTGGTTTTGAGCAGGGACAGAAAAGCAAGGCAAACCCTCAGTGTAACCACCAGCATCCCTGGAGCAGCAGAAGCAGGATATCCATTTGTCCCCTCTCCCATGTCTCTGGGAAGCTAACTGGCCTCTTATTAAAAACTGCCAAGAAAATGTTGTTCTAGGACACAGGCATCAATTATGCATCATAGTGCAGACCAAAAACAGGACAGAAAAGGCCCTGACTTGCTTGGTGTTCCTCTTCCACCTCCATAATAGCAAAACAAATCAGTTAGTTCTTGTAATTTTCAAATTTTACCTTAAAAGATGCATATCTAGCTCAAATTTTGTTTTCAATTTCAAATTTCAAAATTTGCCTGTTTTTTCTTTTTGTTTGTCTGTTTTTCTTCCTTTCTATTTTCTTTCTTTTTCTTTTTATTGAAATTTTTGTAAGACGAAGTTCAAAACTTCCTGATAAATCTTCAAGTCCTGCTTTAGAGATGGAGTTGTTCCTGGAGCACCCCAGATGACTTGGGTAATGGTCTCTACTCTCCAAAGGGAACCTAGAGCAGCTCAGCAGCCAAAAAGTGGTACTGCAGGAACAAGAGATGAAAGCCTAGGGCTGGTGGAGATGCAGTAAAGTACAGGTATCTGAATATCCTCGTTTTAGGAATACAGATTTAACTAATCCCTTTATTCCTCTAGCACCTGTGCTGCTCCATCCACGGATTTTGAGGCCAGTGAAGATCCATACGGTCAAAATGACCAGTGCTAAGACATTTTTATCTGGGATTTCCTGGACTGCGCAATTTCCATGTGTGCAGCACAGAGCAGGCAGCGCGAACCAGACGCTTCCGGGAGAGCTCAGATCCCTGCACATGTGCTGCACAGATGGGCTGGGCTGGCACAGTAAATCTGCCATTTTCCTACACATTGGGCTCTCCCTCTGAGCACCAATCGACCCTGCAGCGCATGTGCAGTAAATCCCTCCCAGGATCCGTGGGACAAGCTCAGCCCATGCTGTGCAGGAGATAGGGGCAAATGCTGTAGCGATGCCCTGTAATTCAGATGGGTGGCAGCCCCAGGTCTTGCCTGGCTGGATTTTCACATATCAGAAATCTGGATACATGTGAAAGTCTTCAAAAACAGTCCTCAGAATCTGCTGGGGCAGCATCTCTAGGTGGGAAAGCAGAACACATCAGAGGCACGTGGAGGAATAGGAGCTTTGAGTAGGGTGTTTGTGATACTGAGGATGAGAGAAAGTCACTGAGCTTGATAATGGCTTCTAATTCACAGAAGCTAGGTTTAGATTAGATATTAGGAAGAAATTCTTCACTGTGAGTGTGGTAAGGCACTGGAGTGGGTTGCCCAGAGAAGCTGCGGATACCCCATCCCTGGAAGTGTTACAGGCCAGGGTGGATGGGACCCTGGGTAACCTGGTCTGGTGAAAAGTGCCCCTGCCCATAGCAGGGGATTTGGAACTGGATGATCTTGAAGTTCCCTTTCAACCCAAACCATTCCATTATTCTATGATATGTCCATCTCCTTACCCTTGCAGCTGCCCATGTGCCAGCATCCCATGCCACTATTGCTACTTGTGGGGCTCTGTGTCGAGCTAGAACTGAGAAAAATATAATTCAATATTGCTCAGTCACTCAAACAGTTCACAGTTCTGTCCCAGAAACAGTAATACTAGCAAAAGGTGGGACTTAGCTCACAGGTCATTCATGAACTGTGGGAGAATGGAGCAGAAGGACTGCAACACTACAAGATGATATTGATACCAAAACCCTATATTGGGAAACTATGGGCCAAATCTGACCTCTTCCAGAGCATCTCCCACAGCCACATCTCCCAGGACCACAACTTTCACTTGAGTTTAGGCAGATCTCTCAAATGCTTCTCCTGTCCTGATTCAACGCTTGTCAGTCATGGAGCACCTACTGCAACCTTAAGTAAATTGCTCACATGGTTAATTAGCTTCCAAGTGTGTTATTTCTCATATGAATGTGTCTGGCTCCAGCTTCCAGCAACTGTAACTTCCTAGGCCTATTCCTGACTCATTAAAGAGACATCTGCATCTGGAAATCTCTTTTCCATGCAGGTAACTGCAGATAGTCATCCTTTAAATTCAAAAAAAAAAAAAAAAAAGAAAAGAAAAGGTGATGCTGTAACAAGGAATTTCATCTGTTGCTCCCCGGAGAACTACAAAATAACCAGACACCCTACCCCTGGCAAGCCTCAAATGTAGGAACAACATTGGCTTGCCTGTGGTGTCCTTGTGGATCCCTAGAGCTGGGTGGCAGATCTCTGCTCTTTGAACCAGCAGTGATGGGTAGAAATAACTTTTTGTTGTGTCTGAATTGGTTGGTGAGGGGCACTAAGGCACAGGCTTCACTTACCAACTCCTTCAGGTTCCAGTGGAACAGTCAAATACCTACAGGAGCTGAGACAGGTACTAGACCCCACTCATGCCACCTGCTGCAAAGACTTTATCCTGAAGTGCCATATTTCAGATAAGAATTTCACTCCAGGAATAAGAGTCTGGTGTGAACTACGTATGAATCTGATGATATATTGTATTCTCCATCTGCTTGGCATCACCTTTCTTCAACCAACCTGATCTATGGTAGGGCTGCACAAGCCTTCTAGCAAAGAGGGTTTTATGTCCTTGGGG